AGCTACCATTAAATTATTCATTGTGACTGGTTGTCCCACTTTACTCAGGTTTTCTTTTGCCATCTGTGACAGCTTCTTGATCTGTCTCCAGGTGGGTGGCTGTGCTCGATGGGTGTTGCTCGTCACAGTTGAGGTCCTCCTCACCGTCATCTGGCTCATGATAAGGTTTCAGGTGTCTTGATGGTATCCAAATCGGCTGTTGATTTTGGCCTGGAGAAATAGAAGCATAACCTCTACCCCAAATTATTTTACCTATTTCCGAACTTCTTGTTATTGGATCTTTTCAACAAATGATGCTAGATTCAATTGTGTATGGGCTGTCCTGTCATCCCCATTTCTCCTCCTTTTTTGTTTTTGTAGTCAGTTGTTGTTCTGTATGAAATCGTAACTGAGCATTTTCAATTAACTGTGTGGAATGAACCACGTATGAAGAATCAGAAATCACATTAATAGGCATATCAAAAGCAGTCAATACCTCAATTACAGCTACAAGCTCTGCTTTTTGAGCTGAAGTATAGGGCATCTGGAAAACTTTACTTTTTGAGCCAGAATAAGAAGTTTTACCATTACTAGACCCATCTGTAAAAACATTCTCGGCACCTTCAATTGGTTTAAATTTAGTTATTTTAGGGAGAATCCAATTAGTTAATTTCAAAAACTGAAACAGTTTTGTTTTAGGAAAATGATTATCGAGAATACCCACAAAGTCAGCTAAATGGGTTTGCCAAGTAAGACTATTTATAAAAGCTTGCCATATTTGTGCCTTCGTGAGAGGGACAGTAATTTTTCCAGGATCATATCCATGTAATTTAACAATCCGAGTTCTCCCAATCCCTGTCATAGTAGCGATTTGATCTAAATAAGGAGTTAGAGTACGTGAATTACTATGTGGAAGAAAAAGCCACTCTACTCAGTCCTGTTCTTGGACAGTAACACCAGTAGGTGAATGCTGAGTTGAAAAAATTAGCAAATCTAGAGTCTTCTCTCGATCTATTCTATTTATCTGAGCCTTATGGACTTGCTTGTTAATCAGCTGTAACTTGACCTCAGCCTCCTTTGTTAATTGCCGAGGGCTAGTGAGACTAGGATTTCCTCTAAGGATAGAAAACAGATTACTCATGGCATAGGTAGGAATGCCTAGAGCAGGTCGTATCCAATTAACATCCCCTAGTAATTTTTGAAAGTCATTTAATGATTTTAATTTATCCGTACGTATGGTTGCTTTCTATGGCACAATGGTAGTGTCATTTACTAAGGTCCCCAAGTAGGAGTAGGGAGTAGTAGTCTGAATTTTGTCAGCAGCTATAATTAAACCAGTGCGAGAAATTGAATTTTGCAAGTGATCATAACATTGGAGTAATATTTCTCGAGTGGGGGCAGCACAAAGTATATCGTCCATGTAGTGAATAATGTAACACTGTGAACATTTTTTACGAGTAGGTTCAATTGCTTGCCCCACATACGTCTGGCAAGTAGTCGGACTGTTTAACATGCCCTGTGGCAACACTTTCCAATGATAACGCTTAGCAGGCTGCAGGTTGTTTACCGCAGGAATCGTAAATGCAAACCGTTCACAGTCTTGCTCAGCTAAAGGGGTAGTAAAGAAACAATCTTTTAAATCTATGACTATTAAAGGCCAATTTTTTGGAATTATAGCAGGAGAAGGCAATCCTGGCTGTAATGCTCCCATAGATTGTATAACTGAATTGATGGCTCTTAAGTCAGTTAACATTCTCCATTTTCCTGAGTTTTTTCATAATTATGAAAACTGGAGAATTCCAAGGGGAAAATGCTGGAGCTATGTGCCCATTTTCTAATTGTTCAGCAACTAATTTCTCTACAGCAGCCTCCAGTTTCTCTTTACGTGGCGGCCATTGTTCTATCCCAATTGGCTTATCTGTTAAGCATTTTAAAGGTATAGGTTCTGGAGGCCTAACAATGGCCACCATCAAAAATTATTTCCTAATCTTTGGCGGGAAATTTGTTTTTCCGCTTGAAGCAGTTCTTTCAAACCTTGCAAATTTTTTTTCTAGTCCCATAGGGACATATCCCATTTCATGCATTGTATGTTGACTTTGAGGGCTATGTAATTGTTCTGGAATTAGAACGTGTGCTCTCCATTGTTATAATAAATCTCTTCCCCATAAATTTATAGGTACAGAAGTTATCATTGGTTGAATAGTCCCAGGTTGTCCTTTGGGCCCCTCACAATGCAAAATATAAATACTTTGATATACTTCAGGGGCTTTACTGACTCCAACTATGTTAAATTGAGCAGGTTGAATTGGCCACGTGGACGACCCGTGCTGTAGAGAAATGATTGAAATGTCCACTCCTGCATCTACCAAACCTTTAAATTTCTTTCCTTGAATAGTTATTTCACAGGTAGGATGTTTATCAGTAATTTGATTTACCCAGTAAACTGCTTTGCCTTGTTTGTTTGTGTTTCCAAATCCTCCTGTTCGTTTAATTTCCCTTTTTCCCATTCCCACATATGGCACAATCAGGAGCTGTCCTATGTGCTCTCCTGGCTCTGCTTTCCAGGGAACAGAAGTAGATATAACAATTTGAATTTCCCCATTGTAATCTGAATCAATGACTCCTGTATGTATTTGTACGCCTTTTAAACTTACACTAGACCTTCCTAAAAGTAATCCTATTGTCCCTGCTGGCAAGGGTCCACAGACTCCTGTTGGGACCTTTTGCAGGGGTTCCCCAGGCAGAAGGCTCACAGCTTTTGTGCAGCATAAATCTACTGTGGCACTCCCGGCTATGGCGGGGGACAGACATTGTACAGGGGTGAGGGAATGGCCTGAGCTGGAAATGCCCTGGTTTAGAATGGGTCCCGGGATGGGCCCTTCATGGCGTTTCCCAAAATCGGGTTGCCTTCCTTATCAAACTTAGAGTGACACTGACTAGCCCAGTGTTTTCCTTTTTTACATTTTGGACATATTTCAGGATCAGCAGTTTTCTTTTTTCCCCTATCTGGTGGCCTGACTCGCTGATTTTTTCTGCGTTCTTTTTTAGTATGACCATGCTTCCCACAGCTAAAACAAGCTCAGGAAATGGAGTATTTCCTTTATCCACTCTCAGTCCTGCCATTGCCTGTGCCAACAAGGTAGCTTTATGCAGATTACCTCCAATATCATCACAGGCCTTGATATAATCAACTAAATGTGCTTTCCCTCTGATAGGTCACAGAGCAGCCTGGCAATCGGGATTAGCATTGTTGAAAGCTAATAACTGCAACACTATATCCTGAGCAGCCAAATCTGCATCACCTTTTTAAGAGACTCCTGTAACCGATCTATAAAATCAACATATAGTTCTCTTTGTCCCTGTTTTATAGCACTAAAGGAAGGGTATTGTTCCCCACCTGAAGTGATTTTTTCCCAAGCTCTAATGCACACTCCTCTAAGCTGTTCTATGGCCTCATCCTGCATGACCAGTTGTGCATCTAAACCAGCCCAGCTGCCAACCCCCAAAAGTTGGTCTGCAGTTATATTAATTTGAGGTTGGGCCTGGGCATTATGAGCAGCCTGAATGGAAGCTTCATCTGCCCACCAAGTTTTAAACTGTAAGAACTGAGCAGGAGTTAGACAAGCTCAAGTAAGAGCGTCCCAGTCAGTAGCAATCACCCGACTGGAAAGAGTAACATTCTTTAACAGTCCCATTACAAAAGGAGAACCTGGTCCATACTCATTTATTGCTTATTTTAATTCTTTGAGTAATTTAAAAGGAAAAGGCTCAAATGTAGCTGTAATATTTCCCTGTTGATCTGGGGAGTGTTTTCTAACAGGGACCTGCCAAGCTTCTAAATCACCCTCTCGTCTAGCTTGCTGAATTCCTGCCTGAACAGAACTAAGAGTGGTCACTTAAGGCGCTGCTCGAACAGTCACTAGGGCAACTACTTTTTGCCCAGTGTCGTCCAGAAAAGAAAGATCTGGGGGGTCATTTTCTTCAAAATAATGAGGAGGTGCAGAAGGGTAGGGGTGAACCTCTCCTTCCTTTGACACTTTAGCTTCGGCTGGCATATAAACCTGCTCTGTAACCTCTTCTGTTACTTCGCTATATTCTTGTTCCTCCTTGTCATCAGTGTGAAAAAGTTCCAAGGTGAAAGGAACCAGACCCCACCCCTGTCCCATTGTTACCCTGATGCTTCCGAGCTCCCCTTCTTACTCACCATGGGGATTGCTTTAAGAGTACTCGGGTGTCCTCCAGCTAGTTTTCCATTCCAATCATCATTCTGGCCACCCTTCGACCTGGATTCGAGCCCCCACGCATGGATGCCACTTGCCGAGACCAGCTCGGTCGGGGAGACCCTCACCCAGAGGCGCTAGAGGAATTAAAGACACACACTCAGAAATATAAAGGTGTGAAGTGGGGAATCAGGGGTCTCACAGCCTTCAGAGCTGAGAGCCCCGAGCAGAGATTTACACACATATTTATTAATAGCAAATCAGTCATTAGCATTGTTTCTATAGATATTAAATTATCTAAAAGTATCCCTTATGGGAAATGAAGGCATGGGCCAAATTAAATGAATAGGTTGGGCTCATTAACTGCAGCAGGAATACACCCTAAAATACACAGATCGCTTATGCTTTTGTTTGTGGCTTAAGAAGGCCTTTAAGCAGTTTTCCGCCCTGGGCAGGCCAGATGTTCCTTGCCCTCATTGGTGTAAACCCACAACCTTCCAGCTTGAGCGTTAGGGCCATTATGGACACGTCACAGTGCCGCAGAGATTTTGTTTATGGCCAGTTTTGGGGCCAGTTTTTGGCCAGATTTTGGGGGCTTGCTCGCAACAGTTACCTTCCAAGGACAGTGTCATTCTGGTTATAACCAGCTTGCTCCCCTGCCCTGAGCCTTCTGTCCAAGTCTGTCCAGGTGTGGGTCTGGGGCAGGGGACAGCTCACCTATTTCCCATAGCATGGAAGAGGCTGTGTCCTGGGCCTCAGCAACAAAGGTTTCTCCTTTGGGTTTCTGTTTCCCTCTTTCAGTTCAGAGTCTGTCATCTGAACCATGAGGATCTGGTGGTTTCTGCTTGCCATTGAAATCTGCACAGGGAACATAAGCTCACAGAACACGTGCAGGCAAGGGCACCCTGGCATCCCTGGGAACCCCGGTCACAATGGTCTGCCTGGAAGAGATGGACGAGACGGAGCAAAGGGTGACAAAGGGGATGCAGGTACTCACCTGGTGGCTTCAGCTGCCTTTCAACTTCTCTCTTCATTCTTTTCATCTCATTCACTCATCATCTGTGTGGCTTTTCACCTACCCATTCACACCCCATCCATCCACCCACCCATCCACCCAGCAACACTCACTGGGGCCTGACCCCATTCATCCATCCACCCATCTGCCCAGCAGCACTCACGGGTCTGCTCCATGCCAGACTCTGTGCCAGGTGCTGGTGGAGAGCACAGGGTGAGATGGCCATGACCTCTACCCTCCCGGGTTCTCTCATCTCTGACATCGCAGAACATTTTCAGTAGTATACGATGTCATGGATCCTCCCACCTCAGGCGAAAGGTATGATGGATTTTTGGCAACGAAAGACTAACAGAGAGATCTGATTGTGAATTATTTGGCAGTAAGCACCCAGCTGCAGTGCAGGTGAGAGCTAATACTGCATCGTGCCATGAAGCAGGAGATGCGGAGTGACAGATGACACAAAAGGAGACGAGAATCTGAAGCCATAGAGCTGCTGCTTATGCATCTGTGACCTAGGTTGGGACCCTGTCCCGGGATCTGGGGACAGGATCCATCCTCTGGGAGGGAGATTTGCCAAAGCTGAGAAGTCTGAGTGGTTTCCATACCAACAACCCGTAGACTTGGTTTCTGAATGGGGTACCATTCTTGAGCCCTGGCCTTGACAGTACGGTCACATATCTAAGATTTATGCAGAATGATCCATCTGGGTTAAGGGCACAGTTCAGTGGCATAACAAAGAAAATGTCAAAACTTCTATGGACCTTTTTCAAGACAAGTTTTTGTTTCTAACATGTCTCCGCTTATGGCATTTGGTGGCCTGATGGTTTTTTGAATGGGCTGGATGAAGTCAAGCGTCCCCAGGAAGCAACTTTATTTCTTTGGAACCACCATCCTGCACATGTGCTCTGTGAGGTGTCTTCTCCTGGCTCACAGCTCCAGCTCACTGACACTGCTCCAGGGCCCTGTAGCGAACAGCCCAGTCCAAATGAATAGCAAAACCTTACCCTTAATGAAATCAGGTCTTCTGCCCTCACACCGGGACCACAGTGGGGTGTGTGTGTGTATTGTATTTCTGAATATGTAGGATTTTCATTTTTTAATTTTTGTTATAAAATATTACACACAAAAGGAGATAAATAGGTGATACATAAAAAATAGAGGACTAAGACAAACACTCCTATATTCAATACCAAATTTCTCCACCTCTTCTCTGTCTAATTTCTCTCCTCTTTGCTCAACAATGTCCATTCTGTCAAGTTTCACATACTTCTTACAAGCAAATTATATATCTATTTTTTCTATGTAGTTCATAGGTATTATATATAATATATATTATTTCTTAGAAGGATATTCATTCACATTGCTCACACTAACATTTTACTTCATTTTTATCATCTTAAAGTGTATTTTTGTGTATGTTTTATAATAAACATATTTTTCATATACTACCTGTGCATGATTTAGGAACACATAAATGTCTACTGATTGGGGTCTGTGCTCATGCTTTGTGAGTTGTGGTTGCATGATCATGAAAGCTCTGAGGTCACTGCTCTAGAGAATGGGAGAAATGAGAGCCAAGCAGGAAACAAAAAGAGGGAAGGAGAGGAAGACACAGGGGAGCAGCCAGTGGAGGGGAGGGGAGGGGAGGGGAGCGCAGGGAGAGGCAAATGTAGGGAAGAGCCCCCTCCATTCAGAGGCCCCACACTGACCAAGGCCCCACTCAAGAGTGCTGATGTCCCAGGAGAACAGACATTGTGATAGAAATAAGTCTGCCTGTGTCAGTCCTGTCTGGGGACCTGCAAGCCGGCCCAGCCTGCTCCTGTCGCCCCTCAGTCGGGTCAGTGGGACTGAAGTATGGGAGTCTCTGCTGCTTTGTGAGAAGCCAGAATCTGGGGTGAGCCATGGCCCAGTGAGCACTCTACTGTCATGGCTGGAGCCATCCTCCACCTGCTGACGGACAGCACGCTGACCTGGGGATCTGGGGGCCTGTTCTGAGCACAAGGACTTGAGTGTGGTCAGCAGAGCCCCGCTCACCTGATGTTCTCTGCCAGCTTGATTGGTGGCATTTCCCCCAGTCTAAGGCACTGGAGAGATTCTTCCAGAACTCTTTTTTCTATCTTGGGATAGTGTCACATAACCATAGTCATCTGTGTTTTCATAGGAGGCTAGTAAATCTTCCGTTCTACTCTCCTCAAGAGTAATGGAAGAGAAACAGAGAGAGGAAATCTCCTCGCACCTCCAACATTCAGACCATGTCCCAAGTCCTTGTCACAGGAGAGGAGCACAATCAATTGTGACAGTCAGTCCCCATTGCACACACTCCCTCCTCGTCCTGTCTTGCTGTGCACTCTAGGCACGTCCTGGAGCTGGGCGCTTGGGAAGTCACTCAGTTCCTTTCTTAGATCACTTATCCCACACAGCTCAGCACCCCAGATGCCCGCTCATGCCTGTCTCTCTCCACCTGCACTCGTGTGGAGGACAGAGCACCCCTCACGGTGGGGGTCACTCCCAGACTCTCCAACACACATGGCTGATGGAGACCAATGGCCAGAAAATCAGAAACGGAATTTCAACTCATGTTTGTTTTCTTCTTTTCCACCTAGGAGAACCAGGACGTCCTGGCAGCCCGGGGAAGGATGGGACAAGTGGAGAGAAGGGAGAACGAGGTTAGAAGTTCCTATTTATGATGCTCTAATTCTGAGCTGTCGAGTATTTAACAATAACTATTAAGTGTTTACCATGGACAAGTCCTCCATGCTGATTATAATCTTACAATAAAGGCAGCACAGTTCTTACTCTCCAGAGTGGGGATTCTGCAGGGATTGGCAGGCTTTGCAGAGGGCTGGGTAGGAAATATCCTCAACTCCGCAGGCCATACGGATCTCTCAGCACTACTCAACTTCCCCTTGTAGTGAAAAGAAGCTGTAGATGCTCCATAAATAAGCGTGGTGTGTTCCAGTGACGCCATATGTGTGAAAAGTGAAATGGGCATTTCCCATGGTTTCCATGTATTGTGGAATATTATTTGTGACTATTTAAACATGCAAACCATGGCCAAGCATCATGGCTCACACCTGTAATCCCAATACTTTGGGAGGCCCAGGTAGGAGAATCGCTTGAACCTAGGAGTTCCAGACCACCCTGGGCAACATATTGAGACTTTGTCTATACAAATAAAAAAAAAAAAAAATTCGCTGGGCATTGTGGCATGTGCCTGTAGTCCCAGCTGTTCAGGAGGCTGAAGTGGGAGGATCGTTTGAGCCTGGGAGGTTGAGGCTGCTATGAGCCGTGATCTTGTCACTGCACTCTAGCTTGGGTAACAGAGCAGGTGACCCTGTCTCAAACCAACCAACCAACAAACAAAACCCAGAAAAACAAAAAAAAACCATGTAAACCATGTTTGTTTAGCTTGTGGGAGGGAGGCTGAATTTGGCCTGTGGCTGTAGTTTGCTGAACCTTGAACCTTGCAGTGGATGAGCACTGAGGAGTGAGACTGAGTTTTTGACTTGGTGCATCCGGCAGCACTGCATGGAGGAGGTAGCACTAGAACTGGTCCCTGATGGATCCCCGGGATGTAGTCACAGCGGCAAACTCATGTCATCTTCACTTTGTGCGTTTTTCATGTGCTGACTCACCGAATGCAACATCCCCAGACACTAGGCAGTTTTATCACCCCGGTTCCATAGGTGAGGGAACAGAGGCATGAAGGATCACTAGCTCATCTGACGTCCTGTGTGCACATGTGCTAGGGACCTGGCATTTAACCTCAGAGTCCACACTTGCAACTACGACTCTTTGGTATGGATGGGGGTGCAAGGAAGCAGCAAGATCTCTGTGGATGATGAACTGCTGGTGGGATGGATGGGTTGGGGCTGGGGTTGGGCAGGAGAGGGCAATGAAGGCTTCGATGCAGGCTTTATTTTATGTTCACTCCAGGGAGGGGCTTTTTAGAGGATGTCACATGACTAGGGTTGAGTGTCAGTTAATCTGCCTGTCTCTGCTCTGCAGAGTGCTTTCCGTATGGATTGACATTATTTCACAGCCAGCATGTTAGACTTAGATGATAGGGTTGTCATTTCTAACGTGAACCCTGACACTAACTTAGTAGACAGTAGTCAAAAGGTCTGTTGAGCTGTGTGTGTGTGCGTCCATGTGCACACACTTGTGTAATTGGAGTAACTGACTTTCATTTATTTATTTATTTATTTTTGAGACAGGGTCTTACTCTGTTGCCCAGGCTGGAGTGCAGTGGTTTGATCACGGCTCACTGCAGCCTCAGCCTCCTGGGCTCAAGTGATCCTCCCACCTCAGCCTCCCAAGTAGCTGGGACTACAGTTGTGTGCCACCGCGCCTGGCTAATTTTTGTATTTTTTGCAGACATGAGGTTTTGCCATGTTGCCTAGGCTGATCTTGAATTGCTGGACTCAAGCAGTCTGCCCACCTTGGCCTCCCAAAGTGCTAGGATTACAGGCGTGAGCCACTGAGCTGGGCTGGAGTAACTGAAATTTATTTTCTTATTTTTATTTTTTATTTATTGTTTTAGAGTCAGGGTATTGCTGTGTTGGCCAGGTTGGTCTTGAACTCTTGGCCTCAGGCAGGCCTCCTGCCGCGGTCTCTGAAGGTGCTAGGAGACCACTGCACCCAGATGGAGTAATTGAATTTTAACCTCTGGGTATATACTGAACGTGTACACTACTTTGTTTCATTTCTGAGCTCAATTATAGAAAAACCAAAGTTGTTCACAAGGGAATCTTTCACAAACTATCTCTTTGTTTGCTCTTTCTCTATTTAGGAGCAGATGGAAAAGTTGAAGCAAAAGGCATCAAAGGTGATCAAGGTTCAAGAGGATCCCCAGGAAAACACGGACCCAAGGGGCTTGCAGGGCCCATGGGAGAGAAAGGCCTCCGAGGAGAGACTGGGCCTCAGGGGCAGAAGGGGAATAAGGGTGACGTGGGTCCCACTGGTCCTGAGGGGCCAAGGGGCGACATTGGGCCTTTGGGCCCAACTGGTTTACCAGGTTCCATGGGCCCTATTGGAAAGCCTGGTCCCAAGGGAGAAGCTGGACCCACGGGGCCCCAGGGTGAGCCAGGAGTCCGGGGAATAAGAGGCTGGAAAGGAGATCGAGGAGAGAAAGGGAAAATCGGTGAGACGCTAGTCTTGCCAAAAAGTGCTTTCACTGTGGGGCTCACGGTGCTGAGCAAGTTTCCTTCTTCAGATGTGCCCATTAAATTTGATAAGATCCTGTATAACGAATTCAACCATTACGATATAGCAACGGGGAAATTCACGTGCCACATTGCTGGGGTCTATTACTTCACCTACCACATCACTGTTTTCTCCAGGAATGTTCAGGTGTCTTTGGTCAAAAATGGAGTAAAAATACTGCACACCAAAGACGCTTACATGAGCTCTGAGGACCAGGCCTCTGGCGGCATTGTCCTGCAGCTGAAGCTCGGGGATGAGGTGTGGCTGCAGGTGACAGGAGGAGAGAGGTTCAATGGCTTGTTTGCTGATGAGGACGATGACACAACTTTCACAGGGTTCCTTCTGTTCAGCAGCCCGTGACAGAGGAGAGTTTATAAATCAGCCACACCATCCATCAGAATCAGCTTGGTGATGAACTTATTCAGATGGTTTTACTTTATTAATTTCTCCAATTATTACAATAATCATAAAAAGGTGAAAACGGAAAAGTTATTCCCAAAACTGATTCTGTGTAACTTACTGTCTTTCCAGGAGTAAATATTGAAAATAGCTGCATGGTTTATTCTAATTTACTTCACATTTCTTATTCCTATTATCTGAAGATCCTTTGCCTGTGTGTTTCTTGTGGGAAGAGTGTTTTGATACCATTTTAGTGCTCTGAGGAGTCATGTGAAGATGTATCCCTCATCTGTGTTTCTGCGGACAGTAAGGGGAAAGAAAAGGGAAATCTTTATTCCATTTAGTACTAGTAACAGCTTTAAGTTGGTGATGCTGTCACACTCCAGAAAGCTGTAGACACTGCTCATTTTGTCTTTTTTTAAAAAATTATTTTTAAGTTCTGGGATACATATGCAGAACGTGCAGGTTTGTTACATAGTAACATGTGCTGTGGTGGTTTGCTGCGTCCATCAACCCGTCACCTAGGTATTAAGCCCTGCATGCATTAGCTATTTGTCCTGGTGCTCTGCCTCCCACTTTGCTCATTTTCTAACCTAGGTTTTAATCACCATTCCATCCAACAAATCATTGTTTGATCATTATTTGCGAGGCGTGAATCTCTATTTGTTTTCTAGGGTTGCCCAAATAAAATGTGCAAAGTGAGAGTCTTTAAACAACAGAAATGGACTTTCCCAGTTCTGTAGGCTGGAAGTTTGCGATCACCGCAGCAGCAGGGCCATGCTCCCTCCAAAGGGGCTGCAGGAGGATCCGGCCTTGCTGCTTCCAGCTTCTGGCAGCTGGTGGCAGCATCACTCCAGTCCCCGCCTCCATCTTCAGGTGGCTGTCCTCCTCCTCCTGTATCAGCCACATTTTCCTCTTCTTACAAGGACAGGTTCCCTAATCTAGTATGACCCATCTTAATCATCTCTGCAAACTCCTTATTTTCAAATAAGGTCACATGTACAGGTTCCGAGGGTTAGGACTTCAGCATCTCTTTTGGGAGATAGGAGCTAACAACTTCTACCGAGGACCCCTGGACTGACCCGCTGGCCCTTTCACTGGCCTAGAGAGCTCCCCTCTGGAGGACACTACAACTGCAGGGCCCCTTCTTTGCCCCTATACAGCAGGAAGTAGCTAGAGCGGTCATCGCCCAATTCCCAATAGCATTTGGGGTGTCCTGTTTAGAGCGGGGATTGAGAGGTGAAGCTGGCTGAGCTTCTGGGTCCGGTGGGGACTTGGCAAACTTTTCTGTCTAGCTAAAGGATTGTAAATGCACCAATCAGCACTCTGTGTCTAGCTAAAGGTTTGTAAATGTACCAATCAGCACTCTGTCAAAACGGACCAATCAGCTCTCTGCAAAATGGACCAGTCAGCTCTCTGTAAAATGGACTAATCTGCAGGATGTGGGTGGGGCCAGATAAGGGAATAAGAGCAGGCCACCCTAACCAGCAGCAGCAACCCGCTAGTCCCCTTCCACGCTGTGGAAGCTTTGTTGTTTTGTTATTTGCAATAAATGTTGCTGCTGCTCACTCTTTGGGTCCATGCCACCTTTATGAGCTGTAACACATATCGGGAAGGTCTGCAGCTTCACTCCTGAAAAGCCAGTGAGATCACGAACCCACCGGGAGGAATGAACAACTCTGGATGCTCTGCCTTTAAGAGCCGTAACACTCACTGCAAAGGTCTGTGGCTTCACTTCTCAAGTCAGCGAGACCACGAACCCACCAGAAGGAAGAAACTCCAGACACGTCCAAACATCAGTAGGAACAAACTCCGGACACACCATCTTTAAGAACTGTAACACTCACCACGAAGGTCCATGCCTTCATTCTTGAAATCAGCGAGACCAACAACCCAGCAATTCAGGACACAATACTAGAACATTCCTATGTGTTAACAAGGCAACCACGAGGGATGTGCCAGAGAGAAAGGGGAAGTAATTCATGGATGGAGTGAGAGATCTGAGGAGAGAGAAATTTGAATGGGGTCAAAACCACAGGCCAAGGAGACATGACTTAGGAAGAAGAACAGCCAAAAAGAAGCAAGCATATGCGGGTTTGAGGGACCTTACTCAATCATAATAAAGTGAATTTCAAGGAGTTTCTACCCATGAGGGGGCCAGGCCAGGGAAGGGTGTGATGACGTCAGGGATTCAAAAGACATCCTGGCTCTTCCTCAGCTCTCACTCAGCCCTCAGAGCAGTGAGCCCACCCTCCTTCTGTCCCTCCTTCTGTCCCTCCTCCTCTCCCTCTTTCCTCTGTCTCTGCCGTTCTCTCTCTCATTCCCTGTCTCCCTCTCAGTTGCTCCCTTTCTGTTTCCCCCTCACTCTGTCGCTGTCATTCCCTCTCATTTACTCTCTTTTCCTCTCTCTCCCTCATTCTCTTTCTCCCTCATCCTGTCTCTCTCATTCTCTCCTTCTCTTTGCTCCTTATTCTGTCTCATTCTCTCATTCCCCTTTCCCTCATTCTCTTCCTCCCTCTCAATATCCTCTTCTTCTTTGGCAAAATTACCCTGCTAATAGCTCGGGGTGTTTAACGGTACTGAGAGGCTCAGAACTCCCTCTGACTCGGTCTTTCCACTTCAAATTTTCAGTTCCAAGACAAAGTGCTGGAGTTGGGCAGACAACCACCACACCCTCCCCTCCCACCGCCTAGGGCCAATTTGCCCTGAGTCCTTAGTCCAGTGACGTGTTGAGGGGAATTCCACCAGGGTTCAGGCCCTGGACTGGGGCTGGGTGAAGAGATCCCATAAAGTCCTGCCCTGGAGGCCAGCATCCAGGGGTAGAGACAATCATTAATCAAAAGCACCAAGGAGGGTGAAGTTGCCGCTGTGATCAGGGCTGTGAAAGAAAGGAATATGGGGTCTGAAATCAGGGCAGTGGGGAGGGCCGGCAGCCACCTCCCAAGGAAGAGGGTGTTGAGCCGGGCTCCCGCAGCTGAATAGGTGGAGGGAAGCCCTGCGTTGGGGGCAGAGCACCAGGCCTGGCCCAGCCCAGGAGTGGCAAGTAACTCCTTGGGGAGGGAGCAGGGTCCAGGCTGGACCAGGTCAGGTCGGTGAGTGGGACCTCAGGGGGCCTGAGGGTGAGGAGGGCTGGAGAGGCCAGGGAGCCTGCAGTCTGCTCAGCCAAGGAGGGGTCGGGGGAGGAGGGGTCTCCAGAGCCAGAGGAAGCAGGGAAAAGAGCTTGTGTTTGGTGGGGAGGACGAGATCAGATCTACGTTTCTGTAAAGACCCCTCCGGCTTCACATAAACACAGACTGCACCGGCTTTCCACATCTCACTTGGTTCTTTCCTTCTTAAATGAACCAACTTGTGTCAGAGAGGATGACGGCTTATTTAATTTCCTAGCCCTTACCACCAACAGCCAAATAATTTATTTTCTATCTTCTTCCACCAGAAGATAATTTCTAAGATTTGTGTATGCTTTGTTCACTGTTGTATCTCCAGCACCTAGGATAAAGTCTGAGATTTGTTAAGTGAACTTACAGGAAGCCATTGGTTTGGGCTGAGCTCCTGCAACAGACCCAACAGAGCAAACCAAAAATGGAGTTACTCCTGCCAAACATTCATGACGCCAAACTGAAACTAAGTTGTTTATTTGACCTTCCAAGAGATCAGGAGAGAGAGAGAATAGCCAAATCCCCCAACAGGCCGGTTTTAACAAGCAGGAAGAAGCCCCCTCTTCTTTAACCTTTTAGAGAAAAGTTACTTTCTAATAACCAACCCGCCTTCTGCTTCCTGTTTCTGTTTTCCTCAGCCTTTTTCTGTTTATAAAGTCAACCCCCTCTGCTGGCCTTGTCAAAACACTCTTTCTATTTTATGGAATGGAATGTTGCTCAATTCTAGAATCACAAATAAAAGCCAATTAAGATCTTTAAACTACATTTGTTGTAATTTTTGTCTTTTGACAAATGTAATAAGCACTCAATAAACATGTGAAAAGAGAGGGAGAGCAAGAGATAAAGACAGAGGGAGAGGAAGAGCAAGAGGTCTCATGGAGGAAGGAGGGAGACTTCTCTGCACCTTCAGAGGCAGGCAGCCCCCACAGTGCTGGTGCAAGGACTGAGCAGATTTTGTGGGGTATGTGTTGGTGTAATGAGAAAGACTAGGCCTGTATCCAAAGAGCTGGGTTTGAGAATTGAGTTTTGCCACTTACTAGAATGAGACATTTGTCAAGTTACTGAACATCGGAACTTCCAACTCCTCAAATGTCAAACGGGTGTGACAACACCCACCTCACCAGGTTGTTGCAGAGGCGGAATGTGTAGCTGTGATTAAGAAGCACTGTGTACACTGCAGAGAACTATGCAAATATTGGGAGTCTCTACTTTGTGGTCCCTCCCAGGAGTCAGAAGAAGACAGGACCAGGTGGCTTTTTGGGCGTCCATTGCAACATCAGGGAGAGGAGTGAAGTCACAGGGATGACACGGTCTATGGCAGGTCCTGCTGCTGCTGCTGCTGCTGCCGCCGCCCATGACACACTCCTGGAGCCCAGGCAGAGTCTGTGTTTGTCATCTTAATTTCCCAGCTAGTTTAGATTTTATGACATCAGAGAAGACAGCAAAATCCCAGAAAAAACTTGGGTCAAGTGCACTGCAGACAAATGGATTTCAAATTTGGTTTCTCCTTGCCCTTGGAATACATTTTAAATAAACAAACAAACAAACAAACAAGAGGAGAAACACACAGGAGAGAAACCTTTCTTCCACAGCGCCCTTGCACATTTGATCTGATTTGCACAGTGCGGGGTGGGGACAGGAAACTGACACCCTAGAAGGTTAATGGTTTCCAGGAAGTCAATTACAGATTCTGAATTTAAACCTGGGTCTGCTAACGATTGTTCTCCAATCACTCAGCTGCCACTTGTGAGTTTCCACTATGGAAACCAGTGATTTTTCACAGAAAATTAGTGAAGCAAATGGAATGATTTTTAAAAGCATAGGGTTTGAAGTCGGAAGGCTGGAGTCCAGAGTCATGGTTCTGACACCTACTGGCCTGTCATTTTTCACCTGCTAACGTCTAAGGAGCCCGGGTTCTCCTTAGTAAAGTGGGGATGCTAGTTCCTAGGGCACCGGGCTGTGGAAGGCTGAACTGGGATAATGGGAACTCACAAGCCATAAACCGCCCAACCAGTGATGAGTACTCGCTACACTTTGGCCGCAGCTGGTTTTGATTTTACATTAGTAACCTGCAAGTCTGTATCCAGCGCTAGGCACTCCGGGGAAAAGGGGTGGGTACAAAGCAGGGATGAACCCCCAGCTCTGGCTGCAATGGAGCCAGCATCCCGTCAGAAAAGGGGAACCCTGACCCTCCTCTCCCTCCCCCGGGACTGTCCCCAGGCAACGTGGGCTCCAGCCTGCAGGTGCCGAGCTCCACCGCCAGAGGGCGCCGCGGCGCGGGACGCCGCGCAGGACGCTGGGCTCCCGGAAGAAGGGAGGAGGCCGTTTGCAAAGGTTGCAGAGGCAGAGCTGTAGGTTACAGGCGAGGCGCCGGAGCCGGGCGCGGAGCCGGGATAAACAAGAGCACTCTGTGTCGGTCTGGTTCTCTAAAGAGCGGATAGTTCCAAGAAAGACACCGACTGAGGCATCCAACAACTGGGGAGCAGAACGGCGCTAGCCAAAGCAAGTTCCAGTCGGCCCGAGCCCGGGAGGCCCCACCCTTGCCGGTGGAGCTGGACCGGCT